TGTTGGTGCTAAGGCAACCTTACAGTGGCATTATTGGAGAAATAGAAGAAAGGAATTTCATGTGCTTGTCTAGCTGAGGGTGGAAGTGCAGGCCCTTTGTAGTCTGTGTGTCTGCGGACGTACTAAAAGCCATGAACACACTGGCTAGTGTGTGGAAACCCCCCAGACAGATTTGCCAGATAAAATATCAAGTTCATACTATGTGTGCAACAACAAGTCCTTATTCGGCTAAGACCAACTGTTGAACTCGTCTCCTTATTTCACAGCCTTGTATAGCCTTCTATCTCCCTCCAACATTTGCCTGCAAGACAAACATCCGTCGACACACACACACACACACACACACACACACACACACACACACAAAACAAGGTTTGCCTGAACTATAATGAGCATTAGAAAAAATTCTATAAAAGATATGCATAATATGTCAAAGTAAATCCAAAAATGCAAAAGGATCTGGTTGTAATACAAGACACAGACTAATAGGAATGTGATTATTCCATGTCACTATGTGAAAATCATCCTATCAACAAGGTATCTGTGAATTAATGACCTGATTCCACACACCTGGGACAAGGTTGAGTACACTTCATGCAAAAACATACTTTAACCACTAGAGGGATCATTCTTAAAAAGACATCATAAAATACTTGGATCATAAGGGACAACAGAGCAGAAAGTCAAAATCTATCTCCCAATACAGGATCGGATCACAAGGAACATGACAAACAAATGAATTATTCCATTTTAAAGATTTAAAAGGAAAAGTAGTAGCGACTAACATTACAGGACAGGAACAGACCTCAGGTATTTAAACATTTGACGCCTGTCATTACATTGATATGAGTGAGAACAAAATTCAGGATTCCCTGAGTGAGCTGCACTGTTTGCTGATATCGTGTCCCTCGCCCTTTTTATAGAATGACCGCCTGCGTATAACATTCACAGGAGAACTCAAGCCCATAAATAACAGATGGGAATGAATCAGGGGTTTTTTTCCGTTGAGAGCAGCCTAAAGATGATTGCTTTTCACCATATTACCACGATAGTCACCATTACAACAGAGTTTTACCACTGGGTTGTCAAAGCCACATGTCCCATTTAGGAGCTGTTTGATGAACTCCAAACTAGACTAATTGTGGGTGCTTATCTAAATCTCAGTTAACACCTCACTGAGAGCATCATCACTCCAAAAAAAAGCCCAAATTGCACCTTATATTATGCTTAATTGTTAGCCTCTATTCTGTGTTATGTGACAAAAAAAGGCCATTGTGTGTTCCTTCATCAATTCCTTCATCAGTATTAAGGTTTTAGTGTGAGCTTAGTCCTAAATCTTGTCCTCATAATAGTTCTGCTTGAAGCACTGCTTCATGTCAACAGACCGGGTTACACAATCTTGATTACAGCCACAAAACAATCAGTCGATCAGTGCATGCGGCTGTGGGAAATATTGACAGCCATTGAGCACCATTGTGTTCCAATACATGTCTTTCCTACAGATGGAAGTAGATCCCTTGCTCATTGGAAAAAGAAATGTGATGTTATCGTCTCTACAATGATGAAGATATCCATTAACTCGTCTATAGAACCAGAGAAAAATGAGAATACCTCTTCAATACAAGCCATCTGAAACCAGGTATTGGTAAAATAATTGTAAAAGCAACTAGAAAGGTGCATTAACTCATGACAATGTATTTTTCCTCCCTTGTAAAGTACACCTTTAAAAATCAAAACATTATATTCAATTAGTTTGATGATTAAATCATTTGGAGGCATTAACCTAACTGGCTTTAACTTAAAATAATATATCAAAGTATATCCCCATGGCGGACAATGTTGCTTAAAGACTCCATATCCATAACTAATAATTGAAATCATTGATTGTATTCAGAACCTGTTTGAGTGTTATCTTGGACATGCAGGAGTTGATACATCACAAAGAATTTAATTTTAAAAACATCAAATACATTGCACAGAGGCTCCGATATGTCTGCCTTCTCTTTGAAACTGAATATTTGTTGTCCTCAGGTGAACCACTGCTTCATGGAGCATACATCCCCCTTACCTTTGATCATAACATTGTATTCAGGTTGTGAACCATGTGTATCTACCCTTTCTGAACTGGGCCAACAATGGCAGTTCAATACAGTCTCTTCTTGCTGTGCTCTGCACAATCTTGTTTTCTGGAGTGTCTTAAAGAAGAGCTTGCAGTGGCATTTTCAGCCCTTTGTTTCCCTTCAAGGGAAATTGAATGAAGCAAAAAGTAATATGGATGTGTATGTTGTGAGGATATGTGACTGTCTTAGTATACGTTTACTGTCTAGGTCTGTGTTTGAGCATATACAGTATGTATGCGCCCTCATATGACTCTGCCTGTCCCTCCCGGTTCCTCAACATCTCCGCTCTGATTGGTTGTGAAGGGACCCAGACACGAGCCCTTAATTGCAGCTCAGGCTGCCATTGGTCATTATATCTGTGTGATGGTCCTGGAATTGTCTGGGTAAATGAGGGTCGAACAAACACACAGACATAGACACACACACACACGGTTTTTTGGTTGGGCTTCTATCTTGGATAATTGGTTGGAAAAGCATCCAGTGGGATCACCGTGCTGTCCCTGTGGCCCTGGCTGCCATGGTAAATAACAAGGCTCATAAACATGAAAGGCAGGGGGATGATCATCCTGATTTGAGCTTCGCACTCAGAGGAGATCAATTAAGGCCTAGGAGTGCAAGGACTTTAAACACACACTGAGAGCAATTCCCAATTAAGCACATGATACTCAAAAGGCATATACTGTTGCAGCATCAATAGCCATTGTAGAGCTTTTTTTTTATTGCTTCTTTTTCTTTAGTACCAGCGAAGTCAAATGCTAAAAAGAGAAGTCAACAGGCACAGAGGTACATTATAGTGATTTGCAACATCATCTCCCAGCAAAAAGACACCGGATCAAGCCCGATATAACAGCAATGTTCTTCTCTGCTGTCCTTGAGCAGGATAAATCCTACCCGCTATAAGAGGTTCCACTCTGTAAGCTGACTCTGCAGTCTGACTCTCCTGTGGAGTGGAAGAGGCGAAGAGTTTATCCGCCCCGTATCGATAGAGCATCGCAAACAAAAAAATAAATAAATACAACGCTCTGGACCGACTTCACTCCTGGACGCTCAAAGGTTCATCTGACACCTGTGGTGTGTTTGATATAAAAGGATGATTAAGATCAAAGGGGGAAGATAATGACCCTGATGTGAACCGTGAAGCCCAAGGAGATCAATTACATTTACATTCTACAATTTAGGCATTTAGCAGGCTCTGTAACCCGGAGAGATTTAGAATAAGTACAGCAGCAGACTTTGCTTCACCTCTAATGCATCAGCACAAGGAGCCTGCAAAAGGAAGTGCAAACACACTGCTCTTACTCCACATTAACAGCCTTTTAATATGGTAACATTGTAACATAACATATTGTCTGTTGATATTGTTCCTTTGGACACTTACAGTATTGTTCCTTCAACACTTTATATACCATTTTCTTTGCAATGTAGTTTGCCCTGCAATATTATCACCGAAACACTAATCCATGCTTTATGATAACTGAGTGCACGGGAGAATCAGATAGACGTAGATTTATCTATAAATTATGATACTGAATATAAACTAACTCAAGCCAGATAATGAACACTGAGGTGTTCCTATATTAAGAATAATGTCATTAATTATTGCTTGGACATTCAGCCACTGTGACATGTTTTGTATGCTGGGCGGATGTCCTACACTACAGTAGGCCAAAGTCAACATACAGTAACGCCTGTTGCAGTTGATGTAGTTGTTAGTTTGGCATGTCCTCCTGCTCTCTCTCACAATGAAGAGCCTATAGTAGCCCGATGAGTCTACTTTTATTGATTCTGTCCCTCCCAGTTTGCATTTGCGTCATATCTCTTTTTTTTTTCCATTCGAGTGGACACCGTGAATGTAGATATACTGCATTAAAAATCCAAAGAAATTGTTACATCCTTCAGTTATGAATGGCTGAGTCACGTTCAAAGGCATTGTTATAAAGCTGACTGACACAGGCCTATTGTTGTCATGCATTTTGACATGTCAGTAATTGATTCGCAAAGAGAAAGAAATAGCCAGCTTTGGATCTTTTAGAGGCACACAGGGTGAATCCGAGCGAATGCTCCGGTCTTATTGATTTCGCCTATTAAGTCAGGTGGAAGGGAGTAGCTCAGTAGCAACTTGGGTTCAAGCACCCCATGCTGAATGTGAGTACCAGCTCCTGGGGAGCTGCTTTGAAACAGACCCTCCCCTGTGCCCCTCGCTGTGGGGGAGACTGTTTGAAAAGAACAAGTTCCTAGCCGCACCACAAACTGCAGATCCATGGAGTGATAACACTTTCCGACAAATGCTTGATTCAAAAGTGCTGGCCCTAGCCACAGTGTATATATCATTAATATGTAATCATACACCAGCATCAAAGAACCAGGATGTATCAGACCCAAGCTGACCTACTTATCACTCATGCTGATTTATGGCTTAATCCTACATTGATGTAAAGCATTCGTTTGCTTCAGAACTAGACTGGCACTTTTTTAGCGATGTTGCCTGTAAAATAAATGAGGAATAGTTAACCACCGATATTTTAATGGGTCAGTAGGTTGGCACTATTCAAACCAATTTATTGCAAACCAAAGTTGTACCTGTAGTGCCGTTGGGTCCAGAGTGATACAGAGAAAGTGTGTGTGTATGCACGTGAGTGCGTTTTTGTGTTGCGAGTGCACCCTGCAGTTGTTACGTGCTGCAAGACACACACTGACTAATGCTAACTACATGCACATGGATGAGTTAAGACACACCTCCAATTTTCTTTCATGGTCTGCTTTGTACTTTAAATTCTATCCTCTTGCTGTTTGCGTGCATTTTATTTTCCCATTGTTAGAATCAATTAGACCATGTTAAAATAAATGAAATGTTCTTTTTTTTGTCTCTCTCCCATTTAGGTTTCATCTACACATGTGGTGGCACACTGAAAGGCCGAAATGGCAGTATAGAATCGCCAGGCTTTCCCTATGGCTACCCCAACGGGGCCAACTGCACCTGGGTCATTGTCGGGGAGGAAGGAAGTAGAATCCAGCTCATGTTCTTGTCATTTGCCATCGAAGAAGAATACGACTTCCTGTCCTTGTATGATGGACACCCGCATCCTGCTAACTTCAGGACCAGGTAGGACCAGTTATTGCTTTAGTGATAACTTGTTTTTTTACTTGTAAAAAAAAAAAAGAAAAAAATGGTAAAGACGAGGTGGAAGTTTTCAGGTTATTTTTAGATTTTTTGCTAAATCATAATGTAATGGCACTAGGCTGTTAAGTAAGAGAAATTAGAATTATTTTACAAACTTTATTTAAACTAAATTCACACAAATTATCTATCTTCAACATTGTCTAATCGCCATTAAAAAGAAGCACGGCAAACACAGCACAGACACCTGTTATGGCATACAGCCCATTGCTTATCGTTAGATTTGCAGTGAAGTGCAGCCAGTTTTCAGTGCTTTAAGCTGAAGCTATGAGAAGGTACTCCTTTGTGCTTCTGCCAATCCACGATGAGCTGTGATGAGCTAATGTGTTCGCATGATCAAAAATGAGGGATCATAAATTCAAAAGAAAACTGAGAACAAGAACCAGACGGATGTACTGGTTCTAAAAGACAAGTGCGGAAATGAATATAGATGCTCATTGTTTCAACAAACGTAGGAGATGTTATCATGCTGGGCTAATACTATTGCAGCGGAACAAATGACGGGACGGCACCAGGTTGCCGTCCCGCCGTAGTACACCAATTCCCCAAGCTCAATCAGTGACACTGTGGCTTCCCTTTACTTATGGAAATATTTTATTGAGCTCCTCTTGCAAGAAATACAATACCCAGAAAGAAGCTCATTTCAGATAAGCTATTAAACTCTCCTTGCCTTATGATTTTATCAGGCAATCAATAGTGCCTAATAGCATCCGTCTGTCTCTATTCACATTCAACATGTTCTTTTAACCCGGCAATTAAATTATTACCAAGTTATGCGAGTGAGCGGTCTATTCGATTTGCACATGGCTAAACATAGACAGAGATCATGTTCGATATTGTTGCTCAATGGTCCTTGTCACCTCTTGCATACTTTTGGTCTAAGTGGACTACAAAACTAGAACTTCCAAATAGAAACCTGTCATGGACTTGGGTTTTGTTCTGTCAAGGTTGAAGGCAAAATTAGTATTAGGGGATGGATCTCAAACGCAGAGACACAAGGGGGAACAAAGGAATGATTAACAGTGATTTTAATGAAAAAAAAGTGTTCAAAGCAAAGCTTGCAGAGCAGGGGAGTCAAAAATTGTGTGACCAAAAATCCAAGACAAAACAGAACGTACAAGACACGAAACAGGATCAGGTAAATTAAGAAAAACACACAAGGGATTCATACAGGCTAGCAGGGAACACACCGGGAAGCATTACAGAGCAGGTAGCACAACAGACGAACTGGCACTGAGACAGGGTACACACAGGGTTTAAATACACTGGGGAGGTGCAGGTGATTAGACACAGGAGGATTCAATCACCGGCGGGGCAGACAATCACACGGAAAGTATACAAAGGCAGGAAGTGAAGTGGACACAAGAGGCAGGGAAATTCAAAATAAAACAGGAAACCAATAAACAAAACCCAAGACCGTGACAGAGACCAAACATTACAGCCGATATGTTACATGTGTTGGCGATGTGTACGAAGAAAATATGTTGTCCACTCTCAAAATGACTCAACACTACACTGATTGGCTGTTGCGTTAGATTCTTCAATACGGTTTCTCTGTCTTGCGCACGCGTAATCCTGTGGAAGCAACAGAAAATTCGAAACTAATTGGGAACGAGCTCTTCATTTCACTTTGGATCCTGTGGATGTGAGCATCCACCTGGAACGAATTCTTGGAATCAAGAATATCCAACCTGAAACTAAGTAAGGCGCCACACCAGAGGCTCTCCTGCTGGCTCCTCTTCTTGAAGCCAAAGGCGCATTCTACACACAAACCTTCTCTAGTTTGGGTGAGGCATACACAAACCCACGGAGGGAGTTCTGCTTATGGACCAAATCCACCCAACAAAAGAAAATACATCTGAAAAAGATGCCAGCTCTGTGCCCCACAAGATGTTACGACCAGCACGGTTTGCCACAAATAAGTTCATTTGCAGGTCACATGCAATTCTAACCAATATTATTGTTTTATGATTACAATGAATGCAAATTTATGATGAAAGCAGATTAGCTCAGATTTTGAGCAGCCCGATTTGATTATCGAACTGTATCTTAAATTGTTTGCTTACGAATGGCAAACATTTAGAAAAAGATATTCATAATAAAGTTTTTCAGGGCTTTTACATTAAATAAAATCATAATCTAAATCTTATTATGTCACATTCATGCAAGTTTTGGCCAGGATCACAAAAGCTGGAAACATCTAACAAATACAACAGAAGAGACTCTTCACTGTTACTTCTGGAGAATTTGTGTCTTTTTTTTTTTGTTTTATTGTCTTCTTGAATTGCATCGTCAACATAAGAGAGGGGCCTTCCATGAAGTGCTGGCGAAGGTCAGAAATAGATTGCTTTCATTACATCAGGCGTTTGCGAGGGCACCATCACTGACGTAGTGCTAAGCAAGAAAATCTGTGTTTGGCTGAGTTGAGGGAAAAGTATGTGGGTCATGGCGAAATGAAATGAGTCCTCTCTTGATACTTGGTCATTTGCTGAAAAGCAATTCTCTCACTGTGGGGAATGAACCATGTTCCTTTGGTTCAATAGGCATAATTTCTAATCAGCTAGCTGCAATAATAAACCTTTCTCAGACAATCCGGTGACTTTTAGTGTTTAAATTGCCATACAGAGTTAATTAAACAAGGGAGCAGAATAGAGTAAAATAGAGGAGGGTGACCATGAGATTTTCCCACTTCATACAACATGTGATTGCCAATTCTGCAGGGGAAGAGAGAGAGAGGGAGAGAGGGAGAGAGAGAGCAAACAGATAGGAGGAGAGAGAAAGTGAAAGATGCCCTCTATGCTCTTTTTGGTTGATTAGGATTTCCTGCTTATCTGAGATAAAATTAAATGATTTGCTGCGTAAGTGTGTGCACACATGCATCCACGTGCACAGGGTGTGTGCGTGCACGTGTCTGTTTTTGGAAGATTTATGGTCTGCATAGTTACAATCGCCCTGCTAGTTAAGCCAAATTACATCTGCTGTCTAATTCTCTCTCCGTCTCTCTTTCTCTCCTTCACGCCAATACACACAGATGTCTGCACACACACACACACACACACACACATGCACTGGGACAAAGGACAAAATGGTGATTAAAAGGTTAGATCCATTAACAAGAAAATGGTAATTATGGGGGGAGTGATTAACATGGATCGCACAGACACATGGACACACGTTTGCACATGCACACACGTTTTCTTTTAAAGATTGTTCAAATCACAGCGTCACATGACTGACACTCACCTGGTCTGAACTCTAGAGCAGGCTATTGTGTCCTCCATTTGAAACACACAAACTCAACAGTAAATCAAAGGCATACTTTTTTTCAAAGGTATGAGCATTTTACTAAATCATCAACATTCAAGATGATGCTGCTTGTCCTCCAATACGGGTTTCGTCTATTTGTAAGTTTCACCAATTACACTTTAATCAAGATTAAAAAGTTATTTTCCAATGATACGTTTTCATAAACAAGTAAAGGGCACCTTCCTTGATTGCTGCATTGCTGCTAGAGCCACATTCCGGCTTGACATACATTTTCTCAAATTGTATCTTTAATGCTGTCTTTTAATTGGTAATATTGTTAAAATGAATTTATTCCAAAAACAAGCTCCACCATGTGGCATCTCAGCCGCAAAGTTGGGAATACCTGAAAGAAATATGAGCTAATAAATATGTAATTGTACTCACAATTTCCGTTCTCTTCAAGGGAGAGTTTTTTTTAATTAGATGGTTAAATGTTTTAATCAGGGAAATTAAACTTTATAATGAATCAGGTCCTCATTAAAATGACCTAGATTATCAAATTGATTGTGTTCTTTGCTAATCTCGTAACCACTATTGTAATAAATGACTGGTCGAACTCGCCTTCTTTAGGAAGCAAAAACAAAGCACGAGCCAGATGAGAAAGATGGACAGTGTAAGTAATCTATTTGGATTTATTTCTTGTATTTTTGACCATGACAGCAATTTTTCACCAGCCACAACAATGTAGTTTTAGTCATCTAAGCTTTGTTAAACCATACTGCCCCTTCTATGCACGGATAATATATGACTCTTTTATTTAAAAAAAATCCCAAAACATTGTTGTTGAAGATAGTCCAGGGTTTTGTAGAGCTGTCTATTGTCATTATTCTGTTTGGTGGGTAGCTTAGCAGACCCTTAAAATAGATATTTGGACTTTGATTGTGTTTACTGGGCATTTGTCACCTTATTTACTGAACCCAGCTGCTTATATACAGCTTGATGTTGGGTTTTTAACATACACTGTATACAATAAGTGGACGTAGTCCTCGTAACATCCCCCAGTGGACTGCCTAGATTTTGGCCTTCGCCAACTAGGTTTTTAGTCATTGCCATCTTAGATTTTGGCCGGCGCCGTCTTGGTTTTTTGCAACCAGAAGTCATTCAAGAGGATGGAGCTAAGTAAAACCAAATGCTGAATAAAATATTTGTAGGTGATCAAAATGTTCTAATACACTTTTATAAAGTTAAAACACACTGTGAAAAGGTTTAACGTTCGAAGACAACGCGGAAAACTCCCAGACCGGACAACGTCGTGGTAGCAACCTGTCAATCACAAGCTAGCCACGCCCTAAAGCATAACCCTGCTTTATGTTTTTTTTTATTTTCAACTCATTGACATCCCTGCCAGTTTATGTCAGTTTGAAGATGAACCCTCTTTGCGTTTTATGGCTGCCTGGGACACCAGGATCCAATAAACCATCCATAACTGTGATACTACTGTGCATGTTAACATAGTCATTAACAGTGAAGACAGAGTCACAAAGAAAGGTGAAGAAGAAAACAGGAACGTGGGTGACAGAGAGGCAGAGTTAAGAGGCAAGACAGAGTGTGTTTGCATGTTATCATTTTTGAATTATATTGAAGCCTCCTGAGGTGTGCTTGATTTATCCAGAGAGACC